AAGGAATACAAATAAAAAGGAAGAGGAAAAGGGAAAGGAGCAAAACGGGTAGCACACAGAAGCCACTTAAATATATAGTTGATATATTTTACATACACGAAATTGGTTTTTAACTGTATTTCGAGGACGGGTAGACAATCGCCCAAAATGGAGGCAGATCCTGCGAGGTGGCAGCAATGGATGGGCAGGCATCTGAGCCGCTTGAAGCGGCTGAGCAATTTCATTTTACAACCACTCGGCGTACTTTTTTCTTATATTTCGTTGTTGCTTTTGCATTTGCGCCATTTAATGTAAATCGTAAATTTAAAATGTCATGTAAAATGGTGGGCGGCTGTGCAAAGGCATTGGGCGCGGCAGCATCCACTTAAGCGACAAGAAAGGCAAAGACAAAAGGCAGAAAAAAAAGTAAGGGCAGGGCATAGTAGGTGCGGCACAGTGAAAAATGTTATTAAAAGCAGTTGACGATGATTGTGAGGAGCGAAACAGAAGCAGCACGACAATGCCATAGAAGAGAGAGAGAGAGAGAGAGAGGAGAGAGGAGAGAGAAGAAAACTCCTCAATCATTGCAGCTGTTTCGGCCACAAAATCTGTGTCTTATTTTTAGAGTTTTATTTTCTAAGAAAAAAGTGGCCTGTTGGGAGTGTCCTTTCCCTGCCATTTTGTAGCTCCAATCTTGAACGAAAATTAACCCAAGCTTCGCGATGATTGTGAATTGGCGAACGCTAACTACTTGGGCATGCAAAAGGAACTCCAAAAGGGGGGCGTGTAACCCCAAGCTAAGCTTTTTGCGCCTTTAATAGAATTTTTATGAACTTAAGTAAAGTCGTGTCCAAATCCCAAGCAGATTACACACGCACACACACACACACACACACAGAGAGAGAGACAGCTAGAGAAGGGGGGAGGGCGATGGGACTTGCTGACTTACGCAACAGCAAAAAGCTTTCAAAAAGGCTAAGGACCGCCCATCGGCCATTTGGAGCATGCGGTTCGGGTGAGTGCGAGTGCGAGTGCGAGTGCGTAAAATGGCAGTTAATCGTGACCACGTAGCAGGACTATTAATAAAAGCGTCTTTAGTCCTACATTTTGTGGACAGGACATCTCCGTTTCGACTGCACAAACAATGAGAAAAGATGACAGCCTCCGGGATGGCAGCAGGCTCAGCTCAGCACAAAACTTTGGCGCATCATTAATTTCACGCAGTCTACAAATGTCGAGCCTCCATAGACAAAAGCCATGTGCAGCTGCCTCAACAAAAAAATGACTCAAGCCAAACTTAATAACAACAAAATGGACTTTGTGGTCACACACACACACACACATGGCATAGCCATAGGCAGCCATTTTGTAATTTATCATTGCACACACACACACACACACACACACTCGAAATATTTGTTGTTGGTTTTTGCCCGAGTCCATTCGAAATGAACTTTAGAGTCGAAATGTAACCCCAAGCCGGGAACTTCACTATTTTAACCCAACAATGACCCCCCGCAAACACACACATTTCATGGAAATTAAGTTACGTGTAAGCAAGTGGCCGCAGATTAACTGTAAATTAGATTGCGTTGGTACAGCAGGGACATTCGGTGGATTCGTTTTTGCTTTTATTTAGCTGCTGTGTGTTTTTTTTTTTCAGTTTTGTTTGCTAAAGGCAGGGTTTTGGCAGGTTTTTGGTTGCTTTAACTTCATTATTTTTGGGTGGCAAATACGTTTTTGAAAGGCTACCTGTTTACATTAAGCTTTTGTTAGGTTTTTAGACCAAATTTAGAGTTTTTGGTGCAGCATTCTAGGCCAGACTCACTCGTAATTTGAATGTCATAAATTACAGAATTTTATTTTGTCAGATTTTTAATTTTACAGAATTGTAAATTTGAAGAGTTTTTATTTGGCACAATTTGATTTATTTTAGTTATTTAATTATTATTTATTATTTTAAATTTATTTAATTTAAATTTAATTTTTCCGAGAAATATCAAAATAATCATTTAAATACATTTTTTTATAATAAAAACGACTGACAAAATGATTTTTTGTGCGTTCAAAGTTCTACTTCAGTCCTACAAACATTCGTGCACATTTTTGGTCTAGCTTTAGCCTCACTTAATACCCCTTAACCCCACATACGGGTTAATGCCAGCCCTAACGTGCCCCAGCAATCATTCAAAACTGGAACTTGTATGGCCAAGCGCCGGGGGCATGTGCCCCGCAAAAACAGCCACAAGAGCAGACCCAAAACAGAAGCAAACAACGAATTGCTTTCAAATTAAATAAATAAGCAAAACGGAAAATGAAGCCAAAACAGGCCAACCCGCCTGCCCCCCGCTGGCACATCAAAGTCATTCCCCCACAAGCCACCCCCCACTGGAAAAACTCTAATTGACGTGCCGCTGGTCAAATAAAGCAATTCTCGGGGTTTTTTGGGCATATACAGTAGTAGTTTCTGCTGTCACGCCGCCGGACATGGAGACACACGAGTGCATTTTTGGTGAGTGTTTATGGGCTGGTTGTGTGTGTGTGTGTGTGTGTTCTGCTGATGTGTATCTGTGTTTAGTTGGCCTCTCGCACGTGAGTCTCCGGGGTGCCATTTTGCCAGACTCGATGCAATCTTGGCGCAAAGTTCCAGCTGCAGCAGCTGCGTTTCCTTTGCGGCAGCACAGTTTACGGTTTTGATTTCCGTTGCGCTAGTCGCTTTTTTTTAATTAGCTACCAGGGAGCTGACACATGCCCTTTGCTGCTGCTGCTGCTGCTGCCTGCTGTTACTTCTCTGGTGTAATTGAGCGTGTAAACTGGGCTTAAGTCACTTAACAGTTGCTTAACACATGCAGCTGTAGGGTTGGGCATGGCAAAAAAAAAAAGGCAACCCCGAGAACCTGCTCAATGCTGCCCGTTTTTTGGGTTTCTTTTTGGGCTAGGCAAGAAAAAATTTGCATATTGTTTTGGGCTTGTGCTGAACTTTAACTTGTGCGCCCGAAAATGTGTTGCATGCTTTTGCGGCTTTATGCTAATGCCATTAGACAGTGAACACTGCCCATGAGAACTCCACATGGAGGCCAAGACTGGAAGCCACAGTGCAGCTATCAGGCACATTCCTGTGTCCCGATCTCCACTGTTAGTGGATTTTGCGTGGCGTAGAAGTTTGCCGTTCGGCATGGCAAACAAATAGAAATTAACATGACATACTTGGCCGGAGTTTGTGCAGCTTCTCACAGCTCAGCTGGTGACAGTCGGTATGGCTCCCACGAACGCCGTTCAGGACTGATGTGACGCACACCGACACACAGATATTTACTGGCACAGCAGCAGGGACACAGCGACAGCGACACAGCGGCCCGTAGAAAATATGAAAAATGTAAAACAAAAATCTGGCCAAAAAACTTTTCTAATTTAAAACTGCCAACAAACAAAACAAAGAACAAGAAACACACAACAAAAAAAATGACATAAAGTACAACAAGGGAACGCAGCAGAAACGACACTAAGATGGAGCCAAAGACAGCAAAAGGAATCCATCCTTAAGCAAGATCTTAATAATAACTGGAGCACACACTTGTGCTGCAAAAGGGTATAGGCAAATTTATGATATATGATGGAAAAGACTCAATTGCTTGCCTCTCGTAGAGTGTTTAGAGCCTCGACCCTGTGGCACAGGCAAGGCGCGGCACCTCACCCTATCAACGGGGATTTTATACAGCATTTTATGCTGCCACTGCCCCCACCCTGGCACTCAGGAAGCGCTCCCAAAATTATGTCTGCTGACAGTGCCAAGAAAGAAAGTCTTATGCCAGGCGGAGACCTCCACACGTTGATGAATGCGAGAGGCCGGAGGCAGAGCGACAAAGATTTCAACTTTCTAATTTAATGTCAGACAAGTGAAGCGACAGAGACAAAGGCGCTGGCGAAGGCTGTTCTGGTAGTCACATAAATGATACTGCAAATTATTTAGGCAGCCAACGTGGCGTATGCACAATGTCTGTTTGACACAGCAAATGCGAGCGAGCATATGCCCCGCACCAAAAAACGCTTTATTCTGCCCAAGAACTTTTGTTCAAAAGTCATTTCTTAATTGAAAATGAACAGCAGACAATCGGCAAGCAGCCCGAACAGATGTCATTTGTGGTTGCCTCCCGATAGCAGCTGCAAAATAATATATATTTATGTTTATTTATTACATAAAATGCACAAAAGTTGAGCGGCTCAGGCGAGAGACTTTGGGGCAAGCTCTTTGTACATTTTAGTGTACGACTTGGCATTCCTTTGCGCAAAGTTTTGAGCACATCAAAAAGTGTTTTGGAAATATTTTAAATAGTTTTAGGATACACGTTTGAATGTACTTTGCAAGACTTACCCAGGGGATGTAATTTGTGTGTTGGACATTTCCTCAGTTTAAGGCAAAAGCTCGCAAAAAACTGCCTCACAAAAGTCATTATTTTTTCATTTGGAAGCTTAATATTTGCCAGGCGCTAAGCCAAAACCACAAATAATTTGGTATCGTTTTTCAGCTGCATGAATTAGCTTTTGAAAATGCCAAAGTCCCTTCCAGCCAGATGAAGGATGTTTAATTTAAGGCAAAAAGCGAGCCTCTACCTCTAAAACCTCTAAAGAACAACAACTTGGGTACTGTTTGCACCTGTAGAAGGTTTACTCGGCATTTGCAGCGCGCACATCCACGAATAATAGTTTCTTTGCAAGAAATTTGTCACAATTTTGACAGGATTTTTAATTCTTGGTTATAGAATGGGTATACCTGAAAATATGTCTACTCAAAGTTGAAATATTTTACAAATTCGAATGTTTCTCCCACTATATTAAAATATTTTTGTATATGGCATAATTCAAAATAGTTCAAAAAATGCCAAAGGTACAAAATATTTATTCAATTGAATTGTGCACTTACGAATTGCTCACCCACCAAAGCCAATAAATGAACTAGTCCTTAAATTATAATTATCATAGAATCAGTTTTATTTTTACTGTATTTTTCTTGATTAGTTTATTCATATTGCTGATTGTTAAACATAAACAACAAAAGAATCACTGCAATGAATTGGAAAACTTGACTTGATTGCACAATTGTCCATTCAAGAATTGTTAACTTTAGCTGTATTTTCCTTGCCAAAGAGGCGTGATCTTGTGGACACCCCATCCACAATTAGGTGAGAACCTGCCGCACAATGTCCGGCGGCAACATGAAATTATTTTTGCGCAAAGGAATCTCGCTGAGCTGTCGGTCGATGGGCGCACGGGTGTCGTACAGCGACGGCGACTGGCAGATGATGGCAAAAGTGCCAAACACACAGGACAGCGTAAAGAGCCACAGGAAGAAGCGATCCAGCACCATCGAGACGAATTTCCAGTCCTCCACAATCTGGGGGGAAAGCAGGGGGGTGAGGGAGGGCGTGAAATAATAAAAAGTAGATTTTTAATATCAGGCTGGGAGGCTGAATGAAATTGGTTTTATATATTTTTGGAGGATAATAAAATATTGTTTTGCGGTCTACCAATAAACTTGAGGCCGCAATAAAAATATAAAGTTATGATTTAATATTTTACAATTGTTTGCTGCACATTTGGGACTCCCCGTCCAATGCATTCGAGTCGAAGTTAAGGGTAATAAACAATACAAAATGGGAGGAGGACGCTCAAGAGTCGTGGGGCAACAACAAAAAACAAGCATGAGGCTGAGGCAGTGCCTGGAATATGAGGAATATGAGGACATTCGAGCAGCGAGGAGTGCTGTATTGTGTACCCACCTCGTTATCCTTGTCGGCATCCTTGATATGCTGCGCAATAAATCTGACCGCACGCAATGCCTGCAGCACTTCGGGTGTTAAGTTCCTCGGTATCACATTGTCAGAATCTGTCAGAGTGCGCCGCCAATGAAATTGCGCAAAAATTGAAATAAAATATTTGGCATAATAAATAAATGTGTGGCAGTAAGTGGAGAAGCGAACCCCCCAGGGGGGGTATACATTTATGCCCTGTGTTTGTGTGTTTGAGTAAAGAAAAATATGTTGAGCTCAAGGCAATGCGTCTTCGAATGTAGCAAAACCCACGAGAAAAACTTCATTATTGCCCTGGAAATGTTTCATCTATGAGTCGGGGCATCAGTTATTTGGGTTGGGGTGTCTTGAGTTCTTTTCAATGTCCTTTAACATCGAACTGGTTCAAATCAGAGAGCTTTAATAATAATTCATCTTTTTTTATTTTTGATTTAAAATCTTAAAAATTACCCACTTAAAATAGAAATGGGAAAACCCGTCAAACGCGGACACATTATTAATTTTTGTTTTGTTTTATTATTTTTAACAAAAGTTTTTAACAAAAGTTGTGCAAGTCCTGAGAGAAATTTCCAAAGCGACTTTTATTATTTGTTATTTTGTTGCATATTTACAAAGAAACTCGCTACATATTTCGCATCGATCCCTGGATCAACAAATATAATTTGTATCTAGACAACACATCAAAATTCATTGACCATATTCTGTCATTTCTTTACTCTTTAATCTATTTGTCAGCCGCTGCTCGTCATTTTGCTGACATTTTATGCACTATATATCCAGTGGAAGGTTCATAAAAAATACCACCCCAGGCATGTCGATTGCAGCATCGTTTTTTGTTTTCGCTTGGCTTGTTTTATGATCCTTGTACGCAGACGGACAGACAGACGGACAGACAGACGGACAGACACTTTTGCGCCATAAACAACAAACATGGCAACACTGACAGCGGCGTAGTAGCCCTAGCCAAAAGGGGTATAATCTGACATGAATGTGATTGGCAAAACCATAAATCAGTTGAAGTGTGTGTGTGTGTATGTGTGTGTGTGTTTGTGTGTTTGTGTGTGTACACTCCCCACAGACACACTGTCCGTGTTCGCTGTTTGCCTGTGGACCACGTAAGCGTTATTTGTCATCAAAGCACATCACATTTCTCTCATGGGATTATGGTTTATTTTATTGCATTATTTGCTTTGAACAAAATATTTTTGTGTATAGAATTTGATGGCTATCCAGACTCACCCACAGAATTCTGCATGCCATTATCGTAAGCGCCATCCTGGCTGTCCTTAAACTCGCTGGGAAAGTCGCTGATGCTGTCGCTGCATAATAGAGACGAAAGCCAAGTGTTTACTTTCAATTTGTAGACGGTAAAAAACTGCCAACTTACCGCACATCGATCTCGTTGGTGTAGCCATTGCTGGGCGTGGAGTCATCGTAGTCGGGCAGCGTGTATTGGGTCCGCCGCATCATCATCAGCTTGGGCATAAAGTGCAGAAAGAGCTTACGCACCATGGGCGACATGTTGTGCGTTGAGGGAGATCTGTATGCCGTTGGGCAATTAGCTGGCACGAACCTGGCACAGTGGTTGAGACTCACCTGAAGTGTATATTCAGCACACAGACCGTTGTCCACACGGACAGCGAGACGAGTATCATGGTAAAGAGCAGATACTTGCCCAGCAGGGGCACAGCCAACGATGTTGGCGGTATAATTTCGGCCAACAACAAGAAGAACACGGTCAACGACACAAGTATTGAAATACATAACGTAACCTGTCAACGAAATTTGTTGTACCCATACACAATGTCTTTCCTGTTCGATAGCGATCCAACGAACAAACAAAACCAACAACAAAGAGCACGGCAAAAGAGCAACAAAAATTATAAACTTCACAAAATACCACAAAATAATTTACTTTCAATTAACTAAGGCCATTACTAAGGGAACTTAAATGAGGATAAAATGATAGATAAAACAAAATATGCTTAAGGCCTGACACGCCGCTCAACTATGACCCTTAGCCACACACACGAACCTACAATTACAATCATCAATCATTTCAAGTTTACACGTAAACAATCAACACCAACAAAACAAAAAAAGAACACAACAAAACAATAAACAAAGCGCATTTCACTACGTTTTACACGTGAACTTTTCTGGGTATACAGTTATGGGTATGGTTGGGTGTGTGTGTGTGGTGTGTGTATAGGTCCTAGTTCAAGCTAAAGGCACGCTTAGCATTAGTCTCTGACTAGCTGAAGTTTTCTTGTATGTACTTCAAGCTCATGGTAGATATCTGACCTATGAAAAGTTCTGCCATCAATCACAATACAATTTCAGCTTAAGCTACAATTTGTAACAATCTTTCTATAAGGAAATAAATAAGCTTTAAATTGTTGTTCATTGCATTGCTGGTCGGGATTTTTTTATGGATTGCTGTTACAATTTTTTAAGAGTTTTTTTCAATGCATTGAAGGAATAATTATGATGCTGTTCAAAGCAACCAAATCCTAATTTAATTTCTTGCTATTTATGGCAAGTCTGGCAGTCTCCATGGAGGTGAACAGCTTCAAGTTTGGGTTCGAGAAGTGCATATTTTAGTTTGCCCAAACAAATATTAAATGCCGTATTATCTTTTTATATTTTGGTAGCAATTTGACAGAGCTTTTCTCTGAGTTTTCTGAATTAACTGAGAATCTTTTTCCTGCTGCGGAAATACCTCAGAATGGCTGCAGATTTGCACAGCTTTGACTGGGATATTTTTACATTTTTGTTCCTTTTCTTATTCCTGTTTATCACGAGTGACGCGTTTGATGGACTTTGGTTTCAGCTTAGCCCTATGGCAATGGGCTGCTACGAGTATTGAACAAGCAAACACTAAAGCAACGACAACAAGAATACGAAGAATAACAACCAAGAAAACTGCACGAGTCCTTTACGTGTTTTTTGCGGGGTTTTACGTGAGTTTTAAGTGAGTGAGTATACTGTGAGTAAATGTGTGACTTTAAGTGTGAGTAAGTGTTTGACTTCGTGTCCTCTATGTGTGTGAGTGTGCGCTGCTTTCTACCAGTTACGCGAGTTATGAGTACAAATTTGAATTGTGGCTTTTTGACCTACTAAATCCGATTAGATTCGTTTTTGTTTCGTTTCATTGGAGTAGGCATTGGTATCAAATCGATGAAAATTTACGTTATGAGATTTCACTACTCAGGAGACAGCACAAATGAATATTCAACGCTAAGAATTTTGATGTAGCGTCAATTATATGTGTGCTGCTTGGGGATGCTGCTGCTGCTGCTTTAGAGTTTTAATAAGTTAAGTGGGGATAGCATTAAGGAGTATCTAATACGATAGAAGGAACAACTAATAGTTAAGAGTTGGAGTTAAGATTTGAAGTAGAAGAGGAGAAATAGTCATAGTATTTGGAAGAAGGAGCAGGAAGTGCAAGTTGAGCTCTACTCGGAAAAGGTTTTGGGCTTTTTTTATGGGTTCTTTTTAGAGTTTATGGGAAAGCCAATTGACAGCTAGTTTACAGATTTCTTTGACAGCTATTTTGACAGCCAATTGACAGTTTTCTTTGACGTTCTTTGACAGGCAATTAGTAAAGTTTCTTTGTGAGTGCAAGAGCTCAGCTTTAAGGACATAGCAGACTTTTAGAATTTATAGACAAGTGAGAGGTAAAGCTATTGAAAGAAGTGCATATGAGTTTAGATAGTTGGAGCTTAGCTAAGGTATGGTTTGTGGTTGAGTTTTTCGTTTCTCACAGTGTAGCAGAAAAATTAGTTTCTGTTTTGCTGATTGGAAATAAATGTATGATAGACTTAGGTGCTTTAAAATCAGTGTAAAATAGTGGATTTGTTTCAACAAAATGTAGTTACAAGAAACACAAAAATTACTAAGAACAAATCTACCAAAAGTGCACAAATTTCTAATCAACATTTGTACATTAATTAAATACTTTAAGGTCATGCTGCATGCTGAGATATATAGAGACAAAATTAGACGCAGTTAAGTCCACTTTGTTATGTCCTTCTGCTTTACCTTCTCGCCGGAATCGCTGGGCAAATAAAACACCAACACCGTGAGAAATGTCAGAGCAACGCAGGGCACAATCAGATTGACAGTATAGAACAAAGTCTTGCGGCGCATAGTCAGCTTAAAGGTGATATCTAGAACAGAAAAGACAACAGAATTATGGCACCAACTAAAGAAAAACTCACCTGAAAAGGGCTCCAGTGTGTCTGGATAATATTCCTCATTTTTGGTCGCTGGCACCTCGAGTATATCCCACTCCACGGATAGATAAAACTCGGTTAGATCGATGCCCACTTGCACTAGATTGCTGCCAGGTATCTAATGCACAAAATGAATAAATAATTTTAGATTTTCTGCACGTAGAGAGAGTAATGCTCACCTGATCTAAATGCTTCAAATCCACTTGTGCACCATTGTAGGTCCATGAGCCAAATTTCATGAAGCAAATTTGCTCATCATAGGGAAAATATTCGACGTTCATTTCGCAGGAGGACTTGTAAATGGCAGGCGGCTCCCAAAATACTTCCCCAGTGTACTTGAGCGTGGCTTTGGTCATCAAAGTGACCTGAAAGTGAGTGAAAATTGCGATAATTAATGGGTTTTTTATCGCTTTTCATGCACCCACCTCATAATTGCCATCCCAGTTATTGTAGAGCACAATATCGGGCACCCAAATGTGCTCCGATGGCACATAGAGCTGCTCCACGCCACCATACTCCTCAGGGTCCCAACGTAACTTGTAGTCGAACCAGCGCTGGCAGAAAATATAAATTAAAACCTCATCTTTAACTCCATTTAAATACGCACCTGTTTAACCCACAGATTGGTGGTCATCACCTGATTCTTGAGATTCACCTCAATCAGCTGGGACAACTTTAGACCCAGCCAAACTGTCAGCGTTTCCGTGTTGTTCACCACGGGACGTATCAAACGATTGTAGTTGCTAAGCAAGTCATCGTAGAGTCGCTTGGTGTCCGGATTGGCCTCAAAACTTACAGGAGCTGTGAACCGCAGAGAGGTGAAGGTTAACGGCATTAATTTCCCAAAACAAAGTCACAAAATATTTCCCAAACTTTCTTAGAATTTCCCAAAACAAACTTGTGCGCAGACGCGGCTCTCCCGCTCTTTGGTCGCTCTCAGTGGGCGCAGCCTTTTGACAGCTGTCTCTGTGAGACACTCCGGATACAGCATCAACGTATCGGAATTTTCACAGATTTTTCCTAGACTGGTGGACAATTTTTCATGGCTTACCCGTTGAGCTGGCCAATGGCACCAATAAGCAAATGCACAGCACACGCCAGTGCCACATTTTGCGCTGTGTTTTTATCCACTTGAGTGTCGAATATTTGCTATAAATTGATTTTTAATCTATTTAATGTAGTGACATCTTGTTAGCTCTTTGAAGGATCCAGCACAACCTCACGCTCTGAGTGTTAATACGCAACTGAGGAACTGGATGCTGAGAGTTGCGCTCGGCTGGAGGATGCTTGACAGCTGTCAAAATTGGCGCAGGCGATTGCTGTTCCCATTCTAGTCATCAATCTTGGCGCCGATTTATGCAACAGATAATCGATTTAAGTATCTATTTTAAATACAAAACGAATTATAATTATTGTTATTAAAATAGATTATAATCTAACTCGCAGTAGGACGAATTTCCGAGCCCATATATTGTGTACTTAGAATTGAGAAATACGTCAATAAATACGTACATTAAAGTACATTAAACACGAGTTCTTCATGTTTTCTAAATATATATTGAAATATACTGAGACGATTAAAGTGTCGCTTGAGGTAGGATTGAATAGCCTGAAGCTTGATTGATGACAAGCCAAGACTTTATTTGATGTATCAAAAACCTCTTCATGGCAGAAATAATTAAAAATCGAAGTAAATTAGCTTTAAATAAATCTAAATTGAATGCTAATCATTGCCCAGACTGCACATAGCGGCAGATAATTATATCAACAAGGTCGAGTTAGGCTTGTAACGTGTTCAAAACTCACCTTTTACATCCCTCGTAAATATCTTTAGCAGCCCAGCCAAGTTCGCAACCTGAGCGAGCAGCCTAGCCAAGTTCGCAACCGGAGCGAGCGGCCATAGCCAGGTTCGCAACCACAAGACAGACCACACCCGGACCCAACCCTAGCCTGTCACTGTCAACGGGTCGTCAGGGCAACGGGCATTACTTTGACAACGAGACCCTGTAACGAAAATAAGGGAAGAAGTCATTAAAGCTTGGAATTGGAATAAACAATACGTTTTGGGTGCAGTAAGAGAGGAACTCTGACAACGAAAGTGAACCAAAAACTCTGCGGAAAACGAAGGTGAACCAAAAACTCTGCGGAAAACGAAAGTCAACCCAAGTTCGAAAGTTTCTATGCGTCATAGCAATGGACTACAAGAGCAACTATCCGCAGATGGTGAGGGAAGCGGGCTTCAAGCTGCGACAGTACCGCGATGGGCCCCTGGACTGGCGTTTAATGGGTAAATTATAAAACAAGTTCAAACAGAAGGGCATAACAAATGTTTTCTCCCAAAGGTTCCTATGAGACAGAACGCATATTGCGGGAACAAAACTTTGAGCTTGTGGACAAGGCGCTGCAGCACCTGTCGGAGGCACCGCTGGGCACTGTGCTGGAGACGCACATTCTGGACAGCGGCATAGCCAAGTACTTTGTGATGTCCCAGTATGCCATCCAATATCTCATCTGTTGTCGCACCTACCTGGATGAGTGTGTGACGGATTTGCGCGAGGCGCATGAGATCTCACAGCAGGAGATTGCCAAGCTGCGCAAGTCCCTCGTGGAGTCCAGCAATGAGGTGGTGCAGCTGCACAAGCGAATCACCGAGATCGAAGCCATACGCGAGGTCGTCTATCCCTGTCATTTGTGCACCAAAAACTTCATCAGCAACGAGGCGCTCAACGTGCACATTGGGCGCAAGCATCGCGTGGGCACGCCGCCCAGTGTGGGTGCCAATGCCAAGGACAAGGACAATGACATGAATCTCATAAACACCATCAAAATGGAGCTGGAGATTAAGCAGCTGAAGGAGCGCCTCAATGCCGCCGAGCGTAACATCAAGGAGCGCAGCAGTGGCTCCAAGCGTCCGAGTCCGCGCCAGGATCAACGCAATGTGGGCATACAAAGCAATCTGAGCGAGGCCAAGGAGAAGGACGAGCTGCACAGCGAGGTGCTGGAGAGTGAGGCGAGCGAGCGCAAGGAGCAGATGCACGGCCTGGCGGAGCGTTTGAGCAACTTTGAGGTGTGGCAAACGGAGCAAAAGCAAAGCAACGAGCAGTTCATACAGGTGGGGTCTAAAATTGAAGCAATTCCAATTAAAAATCTCTCTGAATGTTACCTTTAGGACATCAATCAGAAGCTGGAAGGCCTCAGCCATGCCCTCGAGCAGTCAAAGAAGGTCAGCAGCAACAGCCACACAGAGGCCCCGCCCACACCTCGCCTGGAGGATCTGGAGCGCATACTCACCGAAAAGGTCACAGAGATTGGCCAGATCAGTGCCAACAAGCTGGAGGAAGTCGTAACGCAACTAGAGACCGGCTACAATGATAAGCTGCAGGCGCTGGAACGTGAACTCAAGCAGCTGCGAATGCGCAAGGAGACACAGCAGTTGCCCAAACCACAGCCGGTTGCGAGTGTCCACAGTGCAGGCACCTCCAAGATACCCAAACCTGTGAGCCGCAGGGAAGAAACAACTGCGGAGCGCATACGCAAGCAAGTGGAGAGTGAATTCCTGAAGAACAAAGCAGACGATGAGACTTACCCGATTGAAGAGGCGCCGCCTCCTGCTCCAGTGGAGGTGCAAGTGGAAATCAATGAGCAGCCAAGTGCCGGCAGCTCCAGCAGTCATCCAACGTACACGAAGCCTGACGTGGAGGCAGCTGCCAGCAAGCCAGAGGCACGGGAGACCACAGACATCGATGAGAGCCTCAGTCAGGAGGATGCGCAAGCGGTGGAGGTGGATTCAGAGCACACGCTCTCGGATGAGGGCAGTGAAACGTCCAGCTTCGAGGCGGAGACACAGCCAGTACACAAGGCAGCCAGCAGCAGGCCGCCAGCGAGAGTCAAGTGAGTTTTGCTTCGTTTTTCTGCCCATTTTTCATGCTAAATGTTGCTTTTCCTGCTTCAGTATTCCACAAAGACCGCTAACCCGCAAGGATGCACGCAAGCTGCTCGTTCGTAAGATGAGTTCCCATGGCTTTGACCTGAAATCCAAGACCATATCCCACACGACGATGAAGCGCATCAATGGGGAGCTGACGGAGCAGCGCAACAAACTGAAATTGGTAGGCTGGATTAAATCAATCAAAAAACTGGCAGTAAAGATCAATCCGTTCCAGAAATATCCACATTTCTATGCCACACGCAATCGCATACGCAAGTTCGTGGAGAAACTGTGCTCCGCGAAGATGCCGCCACGGGCAAAAGAGCTGCTGAAACACACGACGCCGCTGCAGCCAATGGAAGCGCCACAACGTGGAACCAACCGATCGACCCACAGCTCCCACGACGAGGAAGACGCCTCGGACACCAGCGAGCACTCCGAATCGCGTAGTTCCAGTCCACAGCGGCCGGTCGATGATGATTTTAAGGCCCGCTTGGAGCAAATTCTTGTGAAGCCCGTGGCCATTGCAGCGCCACGTACAGCTGTCAAGTCTTCTTTGAGTGCCAGGCCAGTGCCGCTGCCGCGAAAACGAGTCATGTTCAATACTATGGGTGCGGGCAAAGGCTTTAACGACAGCGAAGATGATTTAAAATAAAGCTAAAATAAATTCTACCAGAAAACGAGCGCCAAGCATTGCACCTTTTATGAGCGATCTGGCAACTTGGCTTAGAGATGACAAATGCAATTGTGAGAGCTCGTGCGAATAGCTGTTCATATAATCTAATTTATATAAACTAAAAATATATTTATGTATATAATTTGTTTGTATTTTAAAAAGTTGAATCATATTTTGTAGAAAATAAAAGAATTTACAACCTAAATTTAAGAGTACCCTCAACCAGCCGATGGTTATAGTTTCATCACTATTAACAACCAGGGTGACCGTTGATCGTTTTATGCTCTTTTTAGTATTCCACATAATTTAGAAACAATGCAACAAAAGGAACTCATGAAAACCAGCCAACCTTTGGTAGAATTGGTTGATAAATCCGAAGAAATTGTAGTTTTAGCGCTGAGACTCCTAACTAGCGATATCAAATGGAACATCAAAGTCGAGGAAAATAATTTAAGATTTAGGGCATATTTACAGTATATTTTGAATATGCAAGGGTATATTTCCGAGGGTCTGTCGGTATATTTGATCGATAACTCCGCGGTCACACTGGCGACCATCCAATTCGCTGAAAAAAAAAGTATTAACCTGCATTAATGGGCATTGAAAAGGCTGCGGAGCAGTAGGAAATCCAGTGAATAGGGTATAAACGTACATGGGCTCAACACCAGAGGCAGAGACATTGCTGAAAATTACCCTAAACCCACTGCGAATCAATCCAATCAACACACACGCGCACACCCACCCATACACAGGCACACACGCACCTTCGTACGTCGTTTCGTCCACCCCCCCATCAGCTCGACGCCCCCCATTTGCCACCGTCCGTGCCAGCAGCCATCGATGAAATAACATACATAACGTATACCGAAAATACATAAGGCAAAACGGGGCATATCGGGCAACGGAGTGAGAGTGATAGACAGGCGAGTGACAGCAGGAGACAAAACGCAGCCGAATCATGTCCGATATTATGAATATCGACAGCATTATCTCCCGTTTGCTGGAGGGTAAGTGGGAGCTAGCTCCTTCCTTTATGCTCTGTTGATATAACCATTATTATTTTTGTCCCTTCATGGCAGTGCGCGGCGCACGTCCGGGTAAAAATGTGCAACTGTCGGAGAGCGAGATACGCAGCTTGTGCCTGAAGTCACGGGAGATATTTCTGTCACAGCCCATACTGCTGGAGCTGGAGGCACCGCTGAAGATCTGTGGCGACATACACGGCCAGTACTACGATCTGTTGCGTCTGTTCGAGTACGGTGGCTTTCCGCCCGAGTCCAACTATCTGTTTCTGGGCGATTATGTGGATCGTGGCAAGCAGTCACTGGAGACGATATGCCTCCTCTTGGCATATAAGATAAAATATTCGGAGAACTTTTTCTTGTTGCGCGGCAATCACGAGTGCGCCAGCATCAACCGCATCTACGGGTGAGCCCCGGCATTATCGCTGTCTCATAAACACATCTAATTGATTTGATCGACAGGTTTTACGACGAATGCAAGCGCCGTTACACCATCAAGCTGTGGAAAACTTTCACAGATTGCTTCAACTGCTTGCCCGTGGCGGCCATTGTCGATGAGAAGATCTTCTGCTGTCATGGCGGCCTCAGTCCGGACCTGTCCTCGATGGAGCAAATTCGTCGTATTATGCGTCCCACAGATGTGCCCGATCAGGGTTTATTGTGCGATCTGTTATGGTCCGACCCGGACAAGGATACCATGGGCTGGGGTGAGAATGATCGCGGTGTGAGCTTCACATTTGGCGCGGAGGTGAGTTCGGAGTGCACTGGGAGGTTGCTTCAGGTGCTAACGTGTGTCTTTCTTTCGTTCCCCTAGGTTGTGGGTAAATTTCTACAGAAGCATGAGTTCGACCTCATCTGTCGTGCCCATCAGGTGGTGGAGGATGGCTACGAGTTCTTTGCCAAGCGACAGCTGGTCACGCTCTTCTCGGCGCCCAACTATTGCGGGGAATTCGACAATGCGGGTGAGTTGTTGTTGCCGGACTTCAATCTGTGTTAATCTTATCGGTATTATGGGCTTGCTTGGAAAGAGTAAACATGTGCAGGTTATCGCCTGATCCCCGAGATAAACACAGACTGCCAGCAAGTGAAAGCTGCAAGCTGAAATCTGAGCACAACTGCGCATTTTATTGCATGCATTTGCTGTGGTTTGATTGATCATATTTCTGTCTGTGTTTTCGTTTTGTTTTACAGGTGCCATGATGTCCGTTGATGATACGCTGATGTGCTCCTTTCAGATATTGAAACCCGCCGATAAGCGACGCTTTGTTTATCCAAACTTTGGCAGCTCCGGTCGTCCGCTGACACCGCCTCGTGGCGCCAACAATAAAAACAAGAAAAAATAAGGAGCCAAGCCACAGCAAGAACACACACACACACACATGAGCACACACAACTGCACAACACGCAAAGGCAAAGGCAAAGGCAGAACGAGTCCAGAACTGGAAGCGCGCAAAGAGTTTGTTTTTATCGAATATATATATATATACATATATATAGATGTGTAATCGAATCGAATCGTGAGCAACGTTATATGGGGTATATGAGAATCTATATATACAAATTAGCCTATTTTTCATTTGAAAAAAACAAAACAAAACATAAAAATCGAAACTAAAATTACAAACAAAAACAAAACACAAATCGAGAGACACTTTAGTTCAAAGTAATTGTAGTGTAAGACACTGCATAAGGCAAAAGGAGTAACGCATGAATATTTGTATCTCCTTTAATGTATTAATTGTTTTTTCCCCCCACACACACACACACACACACACACAAACACACCATGCATAGCACAGGTACACCATGGAGCGTACAGTGGGTACAAAAAGCGTGCACGCACCGCACCAAGTTGTATTTTATTTCGCATTTTATTTTTTGATAACTCGCAAAGAATTTTTGTAACTATTTTTCAGCTTTATATGTTTCCGTTTTTTATTACTTTTCTAAACAAAACAAAATGTTAACTCTGTACGGGGAATATGCTTTTAAATATTTGTGTGTGCGAGCGAGCTATTAACTACATACATATTACATATGTATGTATGTACACTCGAAGGCACGAATCTATAATCTATCTATATATTTTTGTAATATTGAAATAGAAAAAAAACTACATGTTTACTTAGTTTTAAAAGAACAGAAAAAATCGAAAGAAAGTGAGATGGCAATTTTTTTTTAGTTGCAATCTACATAAGTTTCAATTGTTTACACCAAAAATATTCAAATAAACAAACATTGTGTATATTTTTTTTAATCCATTTTGCGTTAACCACAACACACACACATGCAGAAAACATTAACAAAAAGAATTTTAATTGTTTTCCCACATCAAAAATTACAACAAAAAAAAGCAAAGAAAATTTCGAAAAAAAAATATCAAAAAAAGCTTCATTGAAGCACTGTTAGTTAAGGCGCATACTTTTGAGCGGCACTGTGTGCCCTCTGCTGTTGTCAGCGACGCGGCAGATAATGTTACTCAACCCCTACACCCCTGTAACCCCGAATCTATCAACAGCGCTGGGGAAAACAAACAATTTAAATGCATGGAAAATTCTAAAAAATAAATTTGCAAAAAATAATACAAATAATTGTAAGCCGCAGAGCAGCAGCCACACACACACACACACAAACACTGACACTCTGTCACTCTGTATAACGATTACAGTCCGAAACAAAAACATTCTATGGCACATCCACACAGACATTCCAAGTATTACGCGCAGGCGATGCAAAAGCGACGCGAGCCTGACGTAGATTACCTACTCCCCCGCCCCGACCCAAAATGGTTTCGTTTGTATAATCCCCCCCGCCCGATAAGCAATCCAATCAAGCAACAATCGAAACGCAAATGCATTCGAATCCTCTTCGAAAAATTACACCTCTAGGAGTACTTTGTTCAATGTTGTAACGAATTCCACAAGTACACATATTTACAATGTCTCGATGTATGTATGTTTGTGCTCGTAATATCAAGTTCAAGTATTTGACATCCAGCGGCTGTTTTCAACACACAAGAAAAGACATAAGAAATCTGTAACGTAAATATCGCACATTTATTTCGAAAATTGGGTAAAATGGCAAAGGAAAATTGGAAGCATGAGAAAAAAAAACACACATAAAAAGCATTACAAAAAAATTACAAGAAAAAAAAAGAACTCAATGACGAAGCACTTGTAACAAAATAGCACTGTTTTATTAAAAAGAAAAATGAAATACATACTAGCAATAAAAAAACGAATAAAAATAACAAAAAAACTTGCGGTTTTATTTTATTTTTTTGTTTAGTATTGAAAGCTGAGTGAGGAAAATTAGCAGAACGTAAACTTAAGAAATCCCTTTCCACAGAAATTTCTATGTCCAATTTTAAAGTAAATTAATTGAAGTCCATGGTGAACATTTAAAAGATTCTTTTTATTTTCACATTTCTTGGCAGCTCCCGCAAATATTAAAAATGTTTATTTTGCACCTCAATCTTGTGGAATAGCTCTAAATAATTCTTAAATTGATGAAATTGATTGAACCCCAAATCAATTATATCTTAGGGCGCAGCTCCGGCCCATTGGTGCACACGTGCCACCCGATCCCCTGCCCTGCTCTTCGTCCGCCTGCAGGCGCAACTGCAGCATCTTCTGGCGCAGCGCATAGGGTGTTGTTCCAGTGTTCAATTGCTGCTGCTGCTGCTGCCTATTGTCTCGGTTCTTGTGCCACTTGTCCGTGTCCACTTGGGTGTTGCCACGCTGCAGCTTGTCGTAGGCCTGCTGCAGTCTCAGCTCGTCCTGTCGCACATCGCTGAAGCATTCACTGGCGTTCATCAGTCGAAACTTTTGGAGTGCCTGCAGCTGCTGTAGCTCGTCGTTGTGGCTGGCGTACATTGATGGGGACTGCGGAGAAGGCGATGACGATGCCGCTGCCGCTGCCGAGTTGCCACTTTGAACCTGACCCTGACCTTGGCTTGGCTGGCGACTGGCAACGCATGCGCTCTGCTCATAGAAACGTCGATTGTCCGTGTACTGAGGGGAGCTGCTGCTCATCGCTATAGTGTTGCTGTTGCTGCTGCTGCTGCTGCTGACACCTCCTGTTCGCTCCCAGCCCCAGCGCAGAACCTTGGCCCGACTCTGCTGTCGTTGCTGTGCTGCAGCGCTGCAGCTGCAGCTGGAGCAATGACTCACCGAGGTGGCTGTGGAGTTGCGGCGACTAAAATCGTTGCTCAGGCGAGTGTTGGAGTGTCCCAAGCCTAAGCTCAATCCAGGCACAGTGGACTTGAGGCTCGGTCTGCGCACAAACTGCGTGGGTCGTGTACTCTGTCTGGATGAAGACGTCACCGACATGAGATCGCCACGTGGACGCTGCGGCTGCACCAACGCTGATCTCATCGAACTGCCAGCTCCAAAGCTCCCTCCGCAATAGCAACGTTGCATTTGGGTGTTTCGGTTGAGTCTTTGTAATAGAAAGAGACGTCTCTGCTCTCTGATCTCTGCTCCACTCGGGTAGCGTGCGCATAGAATGTTAAGAGACGACTGCCGCCAACCGGTTTCCACACAAGTGTCTGCTGTGGTGCCCAAAAAAAAACAAAAAAAAAACTCGGCACTTTGTTAACATCCACTCGCACTTACCGTTAGCCGGCTCACACGCATTATTTGTTTATATTTGAACAACAATTGCAACAGAACAGTTTCCATAGACACACGCGCCTGGGGCGGGAGATCCTTGGGCCGTTTGGGACCCACCACCAAAGAATTCGGCGGTCCGAACGAATGACTTAAGCAACAAACTTGATTTTTCTAGGAGTGTAAAACTAATTAGTTTTTGCGATCTTTTGACCCTTGTGAGTAGAACTTTTAAAACCTTCAATGTCATAATTATATATGGGAAATACAAAAAGGTTTAAGTACTTCATTACGTAAAACCTTCTACACAGAAAATATCGTTATTCATTGGTCATTAATCCACTCATTATTCTGTTTTGTCGTTTGTCGCAAACCAACCAAATTTTCCTATGATTTTGAGAGATTAAAAATGGACTTGGCTTGGAAAAGCAAACTTAAAGGTGGATTAAAGTCAAGCGATTAATCGGATCAACCAGTGCGCGGCACTAAAATAATATTTAAATTTAATTGAAAAATAATTTCCAAGCGTTTTTGTAGCAATACAAATTCGTAGTTGCAAAGTGGAAATTGGGATATGAAAACCCTTATTTAGATTTCCTCAATTTGCATCATTTCGGTTGTCCGTGGTTATGGTTAGGGTTTGTCTTTAAAAAATATTTTTAATATATATTTGAGTTTTAATTTTTTAATTTTAAATTTTTAAATATTATTTGTCATTATTCCAACACCTATTTAATTTCTTTATCTCATTTTTCATGTCCAATTTTCATTTCCAAATTCCCGCAATGCAATCAACATTTCTGCCAGTGCCAGTGATTTATGCACTTAAATGTTGCACCAATAAACACTCGTACAAGTAGCTGCGAACGTGTGGTAGAACCTGCACTAAAACCAATCAGGTGACTGAATTAAGGCAACCTTTTCCATTTCCTGCCACTGCCCCACATATTGAATAAGACAACAAGCGGCGAGTCACAGGTACAGTCATGGGTAACCGCTGCCCGAGCGCATCCTCGGACATGACTTACACAAACCCTCAATTAGGGTTTACAACTGTTGGCCATTAAACATACATGTGTAAAGTTCAATGAACCAAAACGAATAATGAACATGAAAGGGCAATAACAGGGTTATGGACTGGGAGTGCAACTGGAACGGGGACTGGGCAGTGGAACGGTCTGGGACTGAGACTGAAACTGGGTCTGCTGCCAGCAGCTGTGGAGATGGTTACATTGCCAAATGCAACAAAGCGGAAAGCAAAAGTGGTCCGCATGCGCTTTTGGGGTGGTCCCTCTCTCACACACTTTTTGGGCCAAAGCTCGCACGCGCGTCAAAGAGAAGTAGAAGCTCGCTCGCTCGCTCGCTCGCTCGTTTGCTGAAGAGGAAGCTTCATCGATTGCTGGCTGCAAGCTTTTTTAATACGGCGTGGGGGGAGCGGTGCGGCTCGCTCTGCTCGTTGCGTCTGCGCTGCTGTTGTCGCAGCTGAGACTGTCTCAAGCTTGGTATAAAAACTCGAGCGCTCGACGCATCCCGTGCACACACCAGTGATAAGTCGCGGCGAGAATCATCAGCTGCCGGAGAAACGTAGAGGACAGAGGACTTGATATCGAAGAACAGTCGGCGGGGGTAGTGCGTGTGCGCGAGAGTGTGCTTGTGCTTGTGTTTGTTTGTGTGTGAATGATTGTGAATCAAAAAGTTACACTTAGGAAACAGATCTCACTCTCTCTCTCTCTCTCTCGACTGGACGCTACATCCGATTTCCCACAGACCAAAAAAACATGTTCCGTGTGTCGGCAACAGCTTCATTACTGCTGCTAATCGTTGCGATTGCGCAGGAATTAAATGTAACGGCGGCAGAGCAAGATTTGCGTAAGTATCAGAGTGTGCAGTGTCGCAGCAGCCAGTCTTTTGTCAGCACCATCTCCCTACGCAGTGATCCATTTCCAGTGATTCCAAGTACCCTGCCCATTCCCATTAATTCATTTTGACCATTTCCCCCCGCCAGTCAGCAGTACCTTTGAGTTGTGGAATTTGCTTTGTTTATTTGTTTTTTTTTTGTCAGTTTGTTTTAGTGTTTTTTACTGTTTAGTTATTTGCGCACTTTGTGCGGCCACCTAGGGGGCACATGGTTATGGCTAAAACGTGATAGATATTGTTTATTTGCTAGTTAAATTCGTTTTAGGCGCTTGGCCCCACACTTGTGGAGGTCAGAGCTAGCCGCAATATTCTCTAAATGATAGGGCGGAGGGAGGGGAGGGCAGGTATGGTGCGTCTGCAGCTTATGCAACTGACAGGCAAACAGGTTGACACTCGATGACGATGGACGGCTGGACGACGGGTTTTTGGGCAGACAGTCCAGTGATCCACTGAGCCACAGCCACAGCCACAGCCAGACAGTCCAGATCCAGTTCACTTCCGCCTGAATGCGTCAAGAGGCAACAGAGAAGGACACACCACACACAGATGTAATCCAATTCAATTCGATCTCCATTATGGCTGTAGATTCATTTCAGCATTCCATTGAGTGTCCGCTTGATTAATGGCAACTGTTGCCATAGGTCAGCACACACAAGTTCCAACGAAAATTTATTCATCACAAATGAGCCGCTTCAACTTGACATTGAGCCACTAAAATATGCTGTGTGCTCGCTCAGCTTCTTTCGAGATATTTCTTTTTGTTTGGGCTTACAAACGAGTTTCGCTTGCTGTGGTGGCCAACGAACTCTGGCCAACAGACAGCTGGCCCAATTGCAGGGTGGAACTTCCGCAAAAGCCACCAAAGATTCCGAAACAATTTCAATGTCAATGTTTTGTTTTGTTTTTTTTTGTTGTGTTTCCACAGCCGAAGGCTTCCCCAAATGTAAGCGAGATGCAAACTTCGACAAGTGTCTGGTGGATGCCGTCAATGTGGCCATACAGCTGCTCAAAAATGGTTCGTATCGATAAGGCCAAGACAATGGGGGGAATGACGTGCTAAGAGCTATTTTGTTATCATTGGACAGGCAATAAAGAATTCGGCATTCCGCCGCTGGAGCCGCTTGCCGTGAAGAAACTTGTCATAGATGCCGGCAATGCGCCAATCAATCTACGTCAGGCCTTGAAGAACATTAAGGTGCACGATTTGATATCCACCAGCAAGATCCTGCGGTACAGGTGAGTAGCAGGACATTCACAACCAGCCGTAGAGCACTCCTTATNCACGCGGCTGAGACCCCCCCTTTTTTTTTTTCCCCCCCCCCCCCCCCCACAGAACCGACTTGGACAAACATTTGATAATCTGTGAGAGTCGCACGGATCGCATTGAGATGATTGGCGATTACGAGATGTCCGGCAGGATTCTCCTGCTACCCATCACTGGCCATGGCAAGTCCAATGTGACGTTGTTGAACACCAAAATCGAGCATCGTCTGATTGGAGAGCCCTTCGAGAAGGATGGCGTGAAGTACATGCGCCTCAAGGAGTATCGCGTTAATTTCGAACCCAAGCGTGTGTACCTCAACTTTGAGAATCTCTTCAACGACAAGACCCTGTCCGATGGCATGAATCGCTTTCTGAATGAGAACTGGGAGACGGTTTTCAATGAGCTGAAAGTGGGCTATGCCAAGAGCTTTGGCCTCATATTCCGCGAGCTGTCCAACAAGCTGTTTGAGAAGGTGCCCTTCGATACTATTTTCCAGAGTTAATGGTGGTTAATTTATGTTTATATTTAGTAAATAAAGGATTTAATAACATTTAATATGCGGCTATGTTTGAATTCAAATCTAACGATAAGTAATCGAAATGTACTGCATGTTGTTTTCCAACACCGCATCTATTGCCAGGGCACCAAAAGTGTAATATATCGATACTGCACTATCGTTGGTTTTGCAGCTCTACTTTTATTTGTTTTTATTGGTGTCTTTTTGTTTAAAACAATTTTGCATTTGCACTAACGCCTACGAACGACTCTCACCGGCTGCCTGCATGGCGGAAAAAGCGGTGACCATGGACGGGCCGACAGTGTCTGAAGCCAAGTACCAGAAATTAGCCAGCGAATACTCAAAGGTAAGATGCGATTCGGAACGATTTCTCCGGCCATCCGCAGCAACAGTTTACGCCCATTAACGGCGCTGGCGCTAATCTAATTTAATCCGCATCCGCATCCGCACAGCTGCGTGCCCAAGCGACGGTGCTGAAAAAGGCCGTGCTGGAGGAGCAGGCGAAGGAGGGTGGCCTCAGGGAGCAGCTGCAGCAGTATGCCACATGCCTGCGCCGCACCGAACAGGAGGTGGACTCGCTGGGCTTTCGCAACAAGCAGCTGGAGTCGCGCGTCTCGCAACTACAACAAGAAATCTCAGCGCACGAGCAGCAGCAGCGCAAGAAAAAGGACAAAGATGCAGCGCCCCGTCGTGGTCTGCTGGGTGGCCACAAAGTGGATGTGGGCGATGCCGAGGCAACCCACGAAGCGAATGCCGCACAAGAGGCGCTCATATTCGAGGAGTTGCAAAAGAAAATCATGGAAAATGCACAGCTGACGTCATTGGTAAGCCATCAGCGGGGGAGAAGAAAACTCGACTCACGAAATCACCCAAAACCCGCCCACCCACAGATTGATGACAAGCAGCGTGACTTGTTGCTGCACACGGAGCGCATAGCATCGCTCGAACAGAAGCTGGAGAAGCGCATTGGGGACCAGAACGAGCTGGAGAAACGTTTGCGCAAAGAAGTGGAAACATTGCAGCACAGAAACAGCGAACTGGAGACCAAATTGGTGGATGCTGCCAGCATGGTGGGTGCCAACAGACATTCCTCGAGTTTTCAACTAATTTCTCACTTTATTGTGTTGTGCAGCTTGGCAGCGAGGATGCCTTGAGTGCCACTGGCAGTGACAACACGCCGCTGCACAATCTGCAGCAGAACAACTCGAATCATGTCACAGCAGAGGATCGCATTGCCATGCTGGAAAAGGAAGCGGCACACTGGCGCGCCCAGTATGAGGTGGTGAAGCTGCATCAGAACTTTAACCCCAGCAAGGATCTCAGCATAAGCAGCTGCAGCACAGCCGCGGCGGGCATAACCGTCAAGCCAAGCGAACTGGAAGCCAGAGGGAGTCAACGGGCGCGGGACTCGTTGCAGGAGCCAGCCGAGCCGCCCACCAAGGAGCAGCTCATTTACAGCGTTTTCAGCAAAAAGTTTGAGGAGCTGCTGCGACTGAAGGTGCACGCTGAGTCGCGGCTGCGTTCGTTCGAGCTGGAGGTGCAGCATTTACAAAACTGCCTGGAGAATGCCACGCACGAGCTGAGCGCCAAGGATGAGCAGCTGGCCAGCCTGGGTGGTGCGCTGCAAATGATGGAAGAGGAATTGGTATGACACTTTGGCGCCGAAACTAAACTGTTTGGAACTAATCTCAGCTCTCTCCGTAGACCACGACGCGTATTAATTATGAGGAACAGATCAGCGTGCTCACCGAGCAAGTGATTAGCTTGAGCGATCAGCTGGCTGCCTGCAAATGAATGGAGGAGAAGGAGGCTCCTCGCGTACCGCTTTCATGTATATTATTGTAAAAACTAACCCAGGCTCAGCCTGTGTCTGCGTTATAATGGAATATGCCTGCAGCACCCCGACTCCCTGTTTGTTGTCCAGCATCGACGTGTATATAACTGAACATATATCTATGTATTAAATTCACTAAAGTTTAACATTTTAACTACAATTTAACGGAGAACGAGCTGCCGCAGGAGCAGCCTTGCTCGGCCAATGGGTTGGCCATCATGCGAAAGCCTGCGCGTATCAGCTCGCTGTGATAGTCAACGGTGGAGCCGGTGCAGTACTCCAGCGACACGGTGTCTATGACCACCTTGGCCTTGTCCTCGCCAAACTGCAGATCGTCCTCGTTCATTTTGTTGTCCAAATCGAATTTGTATTGGAAACCCGAGCAGCCACCGCCCTCTACGGTGATGCGCAGGAATGAGCCATCGATGCAGATCTCACGCAAACGTTTCAGGCAGCTCTCACTCACTTGTATCTGCGGTTTGGCATCTGCATTGGCATTGGCCGTGGCGGCATGCCGCAGTGCAGACGCTGAATTGATGAAATTTCTGCAAAAACAACAACATTAGGCTACACTATTATACAAATTGTGCTGTTTAATTACCTCTGCAGCGCCGGTTTGATCAACTGTCTCAGCAGATACGCCATTTCGGTGCCGTAAATGTAATTTCCAAATTTGTATTTGTTATCTCGTAATCCAAAACAAAGTCACACAGCTGTTTGTTGCGATGAATTGTATCGCAGTAGTTGATATATTTGACGTCAGCCGATACATCGATAGCATGTCGCATCGATACGCGCTGTGAACATTCCCTGCACTTGCGCTTCAATTGGCCTTTGTGGAATTTTGAATTTGATTTTGTTTTTACGCGTTTTGTTTGTTATATTTGTGTTGCTGTTTTTCGTTTTGTACGTTTTGTTTGTTTTTAGTGTTAGGCAAAAGCAACAGCTGATGGCTCTGCATATATCGGTGAAAGGACACTTTGGCAGCAGCGACAGGCGTCCCGTCAGCGTACTCGACGATCCAGTTCGTGTCCGAAAAGATCTTGAAAACGAGCGTCGCATAACTCGTTTAAAGCAGGTAAGACGCAGCTACGCAGTAGCAAAACTCTCTCTTGTAAACATTTACAACGCACATTTGTTTAGGTGCGTGAAAAGTCCAGCGACTTGGCACGAAAAATACGCCAGGATGTTGCAGCAGAAAAGAAGCGCGAAATCGAACGTTTGCAGCGAACCAAGCAGGACGAGCTGAATGTATGGCGTGAGCATGTTTTGGCCAAAAAAAACCAAGACTACCGTACGGCCGTATTTGAAGTGGGCACCGCCCATCGTGCGGCCAAAGCGGAAACGGAACGCAACGCAAAGCGGCAGCAGGAGAAAAATGATAAAATAAATAAATGCAGACAGCGCGCAATGAAAAGAAACGCAGGCAGAACACAAGTGAAGCTGAAGACAACTGCTGGTGTGAAATTCAATGCAGAAGGACGCGCCACAACGGGCACACAGACTCCAATGCCAGAGGCCAAGGCACAGCCCACGCCCGAGGAGAAGGCCAGAGACAAGGACAAAGACAAGGAGAATCGTGAAACTGGCGGGGGTACGAACCATCATCAAAGCATTCCAAAACGCAGCTGCTGCCATGAGCATCCAGATTGCTACTGCCTGAGCTCGGACGATGACGAGGATTGTGTGGATTTTGTGTGCGAGAGCAGCGACTCCTCCATTCTGCACTTGGAGGATGTTGCGCCCTCTTCCGAGGAGCCAAACAAACTGAAAAAGAATCCCACAGTCATACTAGATGTGAACATTGACGACGTGGACTGCCGTGTGATCAACACTAGCACGGGACTGGACATCAACGACAGACACATTCAAACCAATCGCAACTTCAGCCATGTGGTGCATCCCACGAGTGCGTCCAGCATGAGTCCACGGCGGCCACGCTTTACACAAATCACGGACTTGGTGAAGCGCACGGAGATAATTGTGCGGCCCGTGGAGGCTCCTGCACCAGCGCCAGTGCCTGAGGAGCCAACTCCAGTGCCAGCACCGCCAAGCCCCACAAAGTCACTGCCCAGATCGCCCAAGAAAACAGCAAAGCCGCCTGCTGTGGCTGCTGCACCCAAGCGCACACAGCTAGCGAAGAAAGGCGCAAAGCCGAGCAGCCAACAGCAGGCGACAAGAAGAACAACTGGACTGAAGACAGATCCACCGCCGGCCAAGGTGATTGATGCGGGACTAAAGCGCAAAACGTTGCCAAAAACGATAGCCAAGCGAACGGCAAGTGCACAAGCGACACAGCAGGCTGCTGCTCAGGGAGGAGCTCCACCTTTAATGGAACAAAATGCACAAATGCAGCAGCCAGCTATGGTGCAGCCACAGATGCAACAGCAGCCACAAATGCAGCCACAGAATCCGCAGCAGCTAGCTCAATACCCTCCTCCACAGCAGCAGCAGCCACAGGCATATCCTCCACCTTTACAGCAGCAGCATGCAGCCTATCGTCCACCCATGCAACAGCAGCAGCAAGCGGCATATCCACCTCCATTACAGCAGCAACAGCAGCAATATCCTTCTCCTTCTCTGCAACAGCAGCAAGCGGCGTACGCTCCTTCTCCACAGCAGCAACAGCCAGTTCGATATGCTCCTCCTTTGCAGCAGCAGCAGCAGCAGCAGCCAGCACGTTATGCGCCTGTTCCTCTCCAACAGCAAGCACGATATCATCCGCCTCTGCAACAGCAGCAGCCAGCGGCCTTCCCTCCGCCCCATTCTTACGCTTCATATACCCAGTCTCAAGCGCCTTATCCACAACATTCCATGCAGCCAATGCAGCCATATGCCATGCCCTATCCAGCACCTCCGGCACACTCAGTGTACTCACAGCAGCAGCCAGCAATGCCTCTGCCTCTGCCTCTGCCCAGACCACCTGCCCAAAGATCATCGGCTGCGCCTTCCACGGACTCCACGGGCACATTTATGCTGCGCCAGCCAACGAACGTTCATTTCTACGATCACAACAATAAATATCATCGCTCCTACGAGGCGCCTGTCAATTCTGTGCAATTAAATGGCCCAGATCCGAGGCAACCCAATGCCATGGCTCAAGCGCTTGATGAGAATCATTTGCGGGTATTGCGAGAAGAAGAGCTGGAGCAGCTAAGGTAAGGCAATAAATAAACTTTCTAAAAAGAAAATATATTCAAAAGCAAACCACAAACAGGCAAAAGTGCGACAAACGCGGCCAGCGCGCCTTGGAGCGCGAACAAGTCAGAAGAGACTGCGCGGAATTGACCGAAAAACTGGAGGCGCTATCCCAACAGCAACCGAATTTGCTGCCCAGCGATGTGAGTGTTTAATTTTATGAACTTTCCACAGTTTCCTTTACTTAATTTCCCCATTTGCAGGACAACTTTATAGCCAATCATCGCTATGCGGATCTGGCAGCGCGACGCGAGCACAAAATGAACGAAGCCATGGAGGAGATGTTGCTGCGTCCGGCTATTGTGACCTGCCCTGAAGTGGCTGCCAAGACGACTGCTGCCAGAGCTGGTGGCAGGACCGCGAAGCTGCCCGAAGCCAATGCCATCAATTTGGGTGCACAGCCAGACAGAGCGGCGGGCTTTAAGGGCAGCTCCGAGAGCTGCTGCTCCATGCTGCTCGACTATGTGGATGATCAGAGCAAGCAGCTGCGTTCGGATCTACGCGCAGCAGAGTCCAACACCTCGAAATCCGTCAGATTAAAGAATCTGCTGGATCGTGTGGAAAAGATACGCGTGCAGCTGCTGGAGGAGCTGAAAGCAGGCGAACGATCGTCCTCACATGCGGACAAGGACAAGCAGGTACTCGATGCCATACGGCAGGAGCGGGAGGATATTCTGGCCGAAAAAGCGCGCACCCTAAACGAACGCGAAACGGAGCTGGTGCAAAAGGAAGCGCTGCTCGAGCAGCGTCTTAAAAAGTTCTACAAAGAGCAAAAGCAAAAGAAGAGCAGCGACATCGAGGTGAATGCGAGGGATAAGCCAGTGATCATCATCAAAGTCAACAGCGATGGCACTGTGAAGCAGTGTAAACCCAAACCAAAAGCCAGATCCACAGCCATCGAGGCAGCCAAGGAACCAGCCTCAACGGAGGCGCTGCCAGCCACGGAGCCGCAGCGCCAAAACTCCATTGATTCGAACTCCACAGCGTACCGCAGTCTGCCGCCAATTAGCTACAAAAATGTGGATCCGCCAGCGTCGGCAACGGAGGGGCCGCCCACTCAAGTGGATCCCATGATTGCGCACTACATCCAGCGACTGCTGGGCATGACACGTCGCTCCGTGCAGGAGCTGAGCGTGAGCAGCTCGGAAGTGCCCACGCCCGAGCCATCGATCATAAATGTATCGCGAAACATGACACCCGAAGGGAGTGTCAGCGTGGCGCAGCCAGAGGAGACTGTGGCAGACGGACTGCGCATGGAGCGTGTGCAGAACTTTATACAGGACAATCGCAGTTTTGTCAACGAGCTGGAGGACACGCTGCGCAGTCAGCAGGATAAAGAAAGCAGCATGCAGACCTTTGATAAAATATGGAACAAACGTTTGGCCAACAAGCAGCTGCCCGCGACCAAGGAGCCAGCCAAAAGGCACAAGGAGAAAGCACAACCCCGTCCCAGCAGCAGCAACCGTTCAAGTCCAACCAGAAAATCAGTTACCCTAGCTCCGCCAGCCAAGCGCACATCGCAGTCTGCGGTGGCGAGCCAGCAGCAGCCAGCTGATGGGCACATCGAACGCTATGCGCAGCTCACCGAGAACTGCACGCATCGCATAGCCGAGCTCACGGATCTGATAACCAAAGTGCGCGAGGAGAAGCAGCGACTGGTGGAGGTCACACTCACCTCGGCCAGCGAAGGCGAACGACTGTCCACGGAGTACTTGGAGCTGCCAGCCGTTCAGGAGCAGCCGCAGAAGCAGACACAGCGGGCGGCGAGATCTAGGACCATCTCTGATCGCAGTGACAACACAACGCCCTCCACCTCTGAGGCGCTGCCACTCACAAAGAACAAGTCAACAGCGGCCAGCCGAGACAGTGGCATCTCCGAGTCGCGACCCATCACAGCCTTGGGTCAGGTGCCGGCCGATGCAGAGCCAGCCGCAACCACTCATCGACGTGGCAGAGCTCCACCGGCCACCATGCGCCGCTATAGCCCACAGCTGAATGCCGATGAACTGGCACACGAACTGTCCACCATCGCAGAGGTGGAGACGCCAGGCCAATCGCATTTGGTGGCGGCCACGCCAGTGCCCAAACCGTTTCCCAATTTCGATGATTATGCGCGGGAGCTGCAGCTGGATTTGTCCCACTTGGATGCTGATCAAAGTCAGCAACTCAAGGCGGACTTCGATGAGCTCGTGCAGGCCATCAATCAGCAGTGCGGCGGCCTCAACTACCGCGAGTTTCCCAGCATCAATGCGTATCTAAGGAACGTAACGACCACCCGATTACATGTGGAGGAGACGGACCAAGCCATTGTCACAACGGGCGAGCTGATGCGACAATTGCGACTGGACAGCGTGCCCATTGAGGAGTTTCCCGATCGACGGACGTACATGCAACAGCTGCCCGCAGAGCAGAGAGAAATGATTGATACGGCCAGCCTGGAGCATAATTCCTCAGATTCGTTTGATGTGGAAAAGGAGCTGCGTCAGCGTCGCATCATCAAGTCCACGGTACGGCGTTCGGATGGCCATACAGAAGTAATCACCACGCAGGAGGTGGCCAGCAGCACGCGCCGGGAGAGCGTGCCACCCGACTCCACTGAGCCGCCCAATGAGAGCGGCATTGAGCAGCTCACGGGCAGCAGTTTGTCGCGCGAGCTGGACCATGAACTGCAGCGCATTGGCGTGCAGTGGAACACCTTGGGGCGGCAACGGCAGCGGGACAGCAGCAGCGGCGCCAGTTCCCCCGACTCGCATCCAAGTCGCTTGCGTGGCGGTCGGAGTGTCACTTCGGTCAGAGCCTCCGACCGTTCCGCCCAGGATGCCAGTCAAATTGGTCGCACGCTGAATCTGCGCGAATTTCTCACGCGCGAGCTGCTCAAGCATTGTGTGGACAGCTCGGATGATTCGCTGAAGAGCAGTTTTCTGCACTCGCTGGTGGACTCGCTTTCCCGCTCCAGTTCGCCGCAGAGCCCCAGCCTGGGTCATGGCACGGGCGCCACCACAGATCGACAAAAGACATCGACGCCGCGCGGCTCTTTCCAGACGGTGCAGGAAAAGTCTGCCAATGGCTTGACCACACAATCGGTGCCCTTGCCCTCGGCCTCCAATTCGCAATTGTTTTCGGGCGAGAGTCGCATTTCGTTGATCAATTATCCGGATGGAACGCCGCCGGTGCCATTTGGTTCAGTGCAGCAGGAGCAGAGCGGCTCCAGGGAGCAGCAGCAAAGCGGCAGCAGGGCGACACAACAGCCGCAGATTGTCCGAGCCACATCCTCCACAGATGCTCCCACACAGACAACCCTCGGGAGTTGGGAGACCAAACTGAAAGCAGCCTCCAAATCACCCAGAAAATAATTTTAGCCTCAAGGAATTTTAACACATTTTAGCCACAATTATTTAATATATTTTAATAAATTGCAAATCAAAGAAAAAACGCCAAGGGTTGGTTGGGGGCATATACAAAGTATATTTCAATATTTAATATGAGTACATTTACAACAAATGAGTGAAGTTTTATGTATGTCATGTTGCGTACATTTTTTGTGGTACATTTTCACTGGCGTTTTCTCTCTTTTTGAGTGCAGAGTTTAAACATATTTAATAACTAAATACAATACATATAAGGGCAGCACACAATCAAGACTTTTCGTTAGTCAAAAAACCTAAACTAAAGGCTAAGTACATGGAAATATGTAAATTACATACATAATATGTATGAATTAATGTAAAGCAAAGAAAAAATCATTTTGGTACGTGCAGCTGTGAGCTGTGCGGGTAAATGCGTATCACGGTGGGGTTGTCCCCCCACGGCCACTTACTCCCCCTGCTGCTGCTCATCCTGCCGCTCCCTTTGGCTCTCCCTTTGTCGCTGCATGCGCTTGAACGTATCGCTGGCCACCTTCTTCAGTCCATCCGCCTCACTGCCGGTGGCTTCAACCATTTGTCGTAGATGTCCGCGTGACTTTTTGAGCAGCAAGTGGGGCACATCAAACTCCACAGCTGTGCCGGCATCCATGACAATTATGCGATCCGAATCCATGACTGTGTGCAGCCGATGGGCAACCGTGAGCACAGTGCACTGCTGGAACTTAACCCGAATGGTGCGTTGGATGAGGGCATCAGTTCTGGGTAGAGAAAATAAATGCTGAATAAACCAAAACAACTGGGAGAACAGCTTGCAGCACTCACTGTGGATCCACATTGGCTGTGGCCTCATCCAGCACCAGCACCTTGTTGTTCCTCAGTATGGCCCGTGCGAGACACAGCAGCTGTCGCTGACCCACGCTAAAGTTGCTGCCACGCTCCGTGACCATGTAGTCCAGTCCAGGTATGGCGCCACGCAGCTCCACATCCTCCAGCGCGTGCCACAACTCAGCGTCCGTGTAGCGCTCAAAGGGATCCAAATTATAGCGAATGGTGGCCGAGAACAACACCGGATCTTGGGGTATAATCGAGATGCGCGTGCGCAGAATCTCCAACGAAATGCTGCCCGTATCTATGCCATCGATATAGATCCCACCCTCGATGTGTGCCAGTCGAAAGAGCGCGCCAATTAGCGAGGATTTGCCAGCGCCTGTGCGTCCCACAATGCCCACCTTCCAGCCCGCTTCGATGGTGAGGCTGAGCTGCTTGAGCACCGGCGAGCCATTCGGATCGTAGCGACAGCTCATGTCACGCAGCTCCACCTGCCCATGGCTGGGCCACTGTGCGGGTGGCTCCTTCTCACTTACAGCCGGTTCCTGCTCGAGTTCGGTGTACTGCAGAACACGCTCCACGCTGGTCATTTGCTGCAGCGATTCGGCCACCTGTCGTACGCCATACTGCACCATGCCCGTGAGTATCATGGCCTGGGAAATGGCCAGGCCCACATTGCCGCTGTAAGTGGCTGAGAAAAATCAAGAGAAAGCTGTCAAGAAAATGTCAACAAAGGCGCTCGGCCTGGTACTCACATTCATTGCTGATAATAAAGCTAAAGGTGACCGTCGTGAGGAAGACACAACTGACGCAGTCCAGCCACAGACCCAGCGCTGTATTCACCGCCATCGTGAGCTGCCAAACGCTGCTGTGCACATCCTGCAGCAGATCAAACTCCTTGGCCACCACATCCTGCAGCTGTCGCGAGCGTATGATGGCCAGTCCGGACAGCGATGAACTCAAGTGTGAGAAGACAGGACTGCGGCAAATGCCCTCCAATCGCTTCAAATCCTGCGATGGTCGCAGGTACAGCTTCAGAATGAGCATATCGATCACGGCCACCACAAGCATGGCAGCCATCAGCACCGGGTTGACCACAGAGATGACAATTAGGATGCCAAACATGACCAAGGCAATCTGTATAAAGTCCATCATGGCACGCGGCAGCAGCTCATCAATGGCGCCCATATCCTTGGAGAAGCGATTCAAAATTCTGCCCGATGGATTCGTGTCGAAGAACCGCATTGTGGCATGCAAAATGCAGCCAAACATGCGATCATGCAGCACCTTGGACGCGTGCATGCAGGTTTTAAAGAACAAAAACCCACGAAAAGTGGTCATAATGACGACAGCAATGATGAGACCACCGTAGATGTACATGCACTCGAAGGTGGTGAAGCTGGTGGGTTCGCCGAGCGTACGCTGATGCTCCTGCTGTGTCCAGATGTTCGAGAAGAAGTCCGAGCTGCTGCACACCACCTGTGACATCAGCATGACGAAAACCATAAAGCTAAAGCTCAGGAAAGTGCTGCCCGCATGGAAATACTCGTACCACACGCGCGGCGAGATGCCACCCGAGGCCTGCGCCTCCGCCAAATCATCCTCATCCTGATCCAAGTCCGTTTGATCGCTGCTGTTTAGCTGTGGAATGGAGCATTAGCTGTGGCAACCTTTGCTTGTGGACTTCTACTCACCGATTTGCTGCCATGCGTGGAGTTGCTTTGTTTCCGCAACGGCTGATAGCCATCGCGCACGCCATCGATGTAGGGTATGTCCTCATCCTCATCCTCCAGCTCATGGCCACTGATCGTGGGCGATGATGTGTTCAGTCTGCTGCTAGTCTCTGTCTCATCCTCTTTGGGTCGCTCCAGCAGCTTGCCAAAGTCCAGTTCGCTGTTGATCAGCTCCTCATAGGTGCCCTTCCTCAGTATCCGTCCCTGATCCACAATGACAATCACGTCCGCCTCGGCCAGAAAGTGCACCTGATGCGTGACCAGCACACGCGTGGCCTTCTGTTGTGCCAAGCGTCCGCGTGGTCCTATGACCTCATCGAACAAATGTCGTCCCACATGCGCATCCACAGCGCTAAGTGGATCATCCAGCAGGTAGATCGAGGCGGGTTTGTACACTGCACGAGCCAAGCTTATGCGCGCACGCTGGCCACCCGAGAGCGAGGCGCCACGCTCCCCCACCACCGTCTTGTCGCCGTTGGCCAGCTGCTGAAAGTCCGTGGTGAGCGCACAACAACGTGCCACCTCCTGATAGCGCTTCCGCTCGTACTCCTCTCCGAAGAGTATATTCTTGCGCACGGTGCCCGTGAAGAGCCACGGCTCCTGGGCGGCATATGAGAGATCCCCTTGGATGACGACGCCACCATCAATGATTGGCAGCTCGCCCAGCAGCAGCTGCAGCAGCGAGCTCTTGCCAGCTCCAACAGTACCAATTACGGCGCAGAGTTGACCCTTTTCGATTTGCAGATTGATGCCTTGGAGCGTGCGCTGTGCCAGCGGCTTCTCAATGTCCCAACTGGCATTGATGTCCTTGAGGATGACAGCCCGCGTATCGCCACCCTCCCGATTCTGCTTGTGCGTCAATCCGTGTGTTTTCTCATCGCGTCCCTCCAGCTGTAGATAGTCCTGTATGCGCCGCAGCGAGACCAATGCTTCGGCACCGAAACTAATGGCAAGGGGATACCAAATGGCAGCCACCAGCTGCAGAATGTTATAGTAGCTGGCCGCGGAGAACACAAAGTCCGCGGTGATGGGCTGACCCATGAGAGCAGCTGCTGCTAGGGTGATGTAGAGTGTGGAACGCTCCGTGAACACCATGGTGCTGAGGTAGAAGCCACGCAGGTACGATGCATAGCGTATCTGTTGGATCTCGCTGCGTCGCGCCTCAGCGACGACTGCCTGAAAGGGTCGCTCCCAGGCATACATCTTGATCACCTGTATGCCCTGCACCAGCTCATTCATGATGCCCACACGTGCGTCCGTGCGCTCTGCAATCCGCATCCTCAACACAGACGTCAGCTTGCTGAGCGCCGTCTGCACGGGTATGGTCTTCAACAGCAATCCAATGACACCCACCAGCGCCGGGATGCCAATGCGCAGCCAAATGAGGTAACACGTGAGCACCGCCTGCATGGGCATTATCCATATCCAGTGCATAAATATGAAGCCATAATCCAAACGATTTACATCGTTCGAGAGCAGATTGATGAGGTAACCCGCTGGCGTCTGACCCGCCGTCTTCATGGAGAGTCTGAGTGTCTTGCGATAGATCAGCGAGCAGCAGGCAATGCGCATGCGTGCGCCCATCAGCCGCTGACGCAGATCCACATGATGCAGCAGAAAGCAGCCAAAGAGCGTAGAGCCCACAAGCACACAGCCCAGACTGTAGGCATCATTCCAAACGTAGTCAGTGGCCTGCTCGAAGCTATTACGCAGAACGCTGGCATTGCTGGGGTAAGACTCCGCGTTGGAGAGTTGTATGTACTCCTTGCTGACATCACCTTCGCTTATGGCATTGGGGGAATTAGCTGCAAGTAAATTTGATTTATGCTAAAGCTGCAACTTCGAACTTCGAGCTGCTTACCTTCGCTGCCTGTGCCGCTTAGATCTGCCACAGCCTTGGCCACCGTGCCTATGGCGCGTGCAGTTCTATTCAGCGTCTCAGTTAAAGATAATTCCTTGACGCCTGCGACCGGATCTGGCAGCTTTTGAAACTGCAGCAATAACTGTGCCAGTACCGCGGGTATGAGGGTTCTAAAAGGGGTGCAAAAAAAGATTAAATAACATACAAAATCTGGCATTTTCTTTCACTCACTTGATCACTATATAAATCAAGCAAATAAGTCCATTAACGATCGTGGGACCCAGAAAGCACCGAAATAAAGCATTCCTGAGACGCGGCTTCTTGGATTTGCGATGTGCACGCTCCACCTCCTTGTACCACTCACTAAAAGAGAGTTTCAGTGTGATTTAAGCGAACATTAAGCAGCCACTTACTCCTCCAAACGATCGCCCAGCTGCTCCGAGTGATCCTCCTCAAGGCACTCCGTTAGATCATCTGTGTTTAGGCCGCGACGAGATCCTCGGTAGAGCAATGGCAGCGCCCATACAAATATCAACTGTGAGAAGATATTTGCACCATGACGCGGATTTTTACGTTCCGGCTTTGGACTGCTATCCATATTATCATGTGGCTTGCTGCTTCAGCGTGTCTGCGCTTCCACCTGTGGCGACAATCAGAAACTAAACTCATGTTAAACATAAAAGAAAAAAACGTCTGCGATTTTCATTCCAGCGTGCACGATTCTGATAAGGCAATCAGCAGGCTGCAAGTAATACCCTATAGGATGATATATTATTGTATTATATGCTGTGCCAAGTGCTACGCTGATCTGTTCTGTGCTCTGGTTGCTTATCAGCTACGACCTTGAGCAATAACTTATAACCCAATTAGTAAGGGATTACATTATAGCAAAGATTATGTGCACTCGGTACGCAGTTATCATTGAATTTTTGTAAGTAAAACGAGTTGAAAATGCCAATATTTTAGCACTTAATCGGTTCAGACACACTTGGTAATCTCAACCGGTTTAAATCCAGTTTTAATAATAAACAAAAGGCAAAACTCCGCGCACAGCAACAGTGGCTTTGGGAACACTTAGCTGCCACTTGTAGATTGATTTCATTTACATGAAAAGTTTTTACTATGATAAGCCTAGAACATGGATATAACAGCAGCACATGGCTGTAAAGACAAAGCTGTGGAAAATGTATAAATAAAACCAAAACAGACTCAGAAAGAGTGGAAAATTAATACATTTAGGAGTCACTTCTGTCACTTATCAGGGTTAAGTGAAACCTTAATTAAAAACTTAAATCCATACTTTAAACACAGAAAAGATCGAAGAAGCTAAAGTTGTGTATTTATTATGGCGATTCTCACAGTAAACATGCCCAGGAATTAGAAAAGCAATAGGTATGAATGCATTGCCTTTTTTCTTACTCAAGATATGGTATGATTAGACTCTGAATTGGATTAATAAATGATCGTAGGCATGATCCATCTTCGACAGACATATCCCTTCCTTAAAGTTTCCCAAAATACCTCCCACTCTTCCCACAACATTATGACCCATTGTAAGATAATTCTTCACAATTCTTCATCCAAGATAATACCAATTCAGCAAGAAATACGCATACTACGAGCACGAACGTGCACCTTAAAAAGACAAGACAAAACGAACTTTGCTCAGCATAAACCCACACAGATACACACTCTTCTCTCTTCAGATGAGAGGGTCAGTCACACCGTTTGATATCGGTCATTAGCTTTGAGCCATGTTTATTTGCATTGTCTGTAACTGATAGCATGCGACACGAAGATCGTAAATCAAAACGCATTTTGAGACACGTACGTGGACGTGTGCGAGTACTCATCCCTCAATGCTACACCATGGCAATAATCATAATTTTTATGAATTGGTAAGCAAAAGTCCAGAGACCTGCACAAGATAAGCCACACACACCAGACTGAGTTTTGTTTTCTATTGCTTTTGGGAAGGTCATAAGCCAAGGTGCCATGTGCCAGACTACACACACAGTTTGACCCACTTTTTGGTCAACGGAAATTTCACTTTTTGCATGGAAAGTTTTCCCATGATAGCCTGACGAGGAAAAGTTTCAAACATTGCAAGTTCTCAGCTAACAGTGTTGTTCCAGTAAATTAAAGTGAGGCAACATCAACCATTTATGAGGGCTAGGCCTTGTGGCAGTGGAATCTTCCTATTTCACTTGATAGTTCTTAATTGTTCGAGTGAATGCTATCCAATCAATGGCTTTTAATTTACGTAAATAGAAATTCATTGAATTTTCTGTCCGTCACTGCGCTCGAGCTAAACCCACATAATGAGTGCGATTAATTAAGTAATTAGAATTATCTGGCAGCGCTCAAAGAAATGATAAAATGAGCGCTAGTTGGCCCACATATTTTTTGTTATATATATACTATGTATATGTACATGTACCCCCAATGTATGTTCGTTTTAACAGTTGATTAGAATGCGCGTCAGCCGGCTAAAGGGTGTGTATTTTATTCATTAGATTAGTTTAGGTTAGGTTAGGTAGAAATGCCTGACTTTTGAAGGTACTTGGCTATGAAGTGTTCTTCCTTTTAGTTTCATTTATACATTTATTGCAGATATTAATTATATATTTTCACTTTAAATCTACGATCAGATTTAATCTCTTTGTCATTTTTTGCACATTTGCAGACCACGTTTTCCACAACTAAATTCTAGGCTTTGCTTCTCTCTCCCTTCACTTCGCTTCTCTCCCAGCTCGTTTTACAGTTAGCTTGCTGCTGTGCGCAACAGTTGTGCTCCTACCCATTCACTCAATTTACCGTTTCACATATCAGACGCAAAGATTTCAATCGAAATGAAATACAAACAGCGACTCACAATGGCAGTGCAATTACGAGCACCCGTACTCGTATTATTGATAACTTTTCGGCAAAAACTTTTGCTGCTGCTATTGCTGTGAAAACAAAAACCAACTGTAAAAACAGTGATTAATTTTTGTTTTACCGGCACAGCCACTTGTACTCGTACACACACACATACAGAAAGGCAAACGGTATCGGCGAAACTCGCAGCCGAAACCCGCGCAGGCAAACAAGTGGTTGCCTGACAGAAGTTGCTCGCGGGGGAGGGGATAACCGGCATGGCACTGCAAATTCTTTCACTGTTGCACTCTCCCTCATGGGAGCATAACCAAATTAAATAACGGTTAATGACGTAAAACCAAAAGGGAGACGGCGACACAGACAGACAGCATATTGGTGGACGATTCAGTGGAAGGGGTGGGGAAGCAGCAAGCACCAAAAGCCAAGTGCTCACACAGTCTCACACACACGCACACAGTATGTATTTTTATGCCATTTATTACGCGAACGACAGACAGCGAGAAAGAGAGAGAGAGAGACAATTGCCGGGCGGGCAAAAAGGGCGACAAACTGAATTAATTCACTTTAAAATTAAACAAATCATCAGAGCACTTACAAGCACTACTCCAGCATTAATTATTTTCCACTGCTGTGTGATTTGTCTGCCACTCCGAAGCAGTCAACACGTGCAGAATTACCCACAAAAAAAAGAAGGAACGAAACTGAACGGCAGACACGAACGAACGAACGAACGAACGAAAACACAACCGACTCAATGCACTGGCCGTAACGGAATGCTCCAAGCTTCATGTTTGGTATACTGAATGGCAGTGAAAGAGAGAGAGAGAGAGAGAGAGAGAATGATGGGGAGAGAGCACTGAAAGTTTGAGAACAAGCTTACACTGTACTACAGGGTTTTTATTTAAAATGTAAATTAGCTTTAGAATATTGCGATTTATGGCTGTCGAATTTTCGACTAGAGTTTAATTTTATTTGCATTTGCATAAACTTTCTTTGTAGATTTATTGTTATAAAGTTTTATGTATTGATTTTTAAAATGGTAAAGAAAGTCAAACTCAGCGCTAATTGTTTTTAGACCAGTTTGGGAAGACTAACATACAACAAAATATAATATTATTTTAATATTTAAGACTAAAGATTGCACAGAGAATTTTCTGAATTTATTATGAATTTTTATTTGTATTTTCTAGATTTTGTTTGGTCTGAGATAATTTTGTAGTCCAAGTATTAATAGCTGTATTATTAATCCTTAAATCCTACAAGCAGATTAACAGATATTGTTTGAAGAAAATGCTCATTGAATTTAAGGCCGTTTGGCACTATAATATCCACGAAACGATCAAAAGATTTAACGGATTTAATTTGTTTTCACAGCTGCGATACTCTACAAAATTCAATCTCCACAAACACTTTAATCGAAAGAGAGAGAGAGAGACAGAGATACGCAGCTTTTTTACTGCCAGAGAGCTAGCTAAAGCTTTTTACATGTCATGTAAAAGCTTGCATAAGACATTTACATTGTGAGATCGATTTGTTTATTTAAAGTACAAATAAAATGCAATTTATATGAATAAAGTTATAATTATTACAAACAAATCGGCCTGAGCATCATGCAATGATTAAAATTGCAACCAACATCTGCAAAAATATTTCTTTACTCGGACTGTTGCTTTAGCCCACTTAAATGACGGGAGGCGTTGTATGTACTCCACCCCCTTGCAGCGCCTGTGTAAACACACACTGCAACAGTTGTTCTATTTTGGCGCCAAAAATAGCTGAGAACGTAAACAAAAGTCTAGCAAAGGTACAAAAACACTCTAGCTGAAAGCTCGCTCTTGCACTCATTCTGCCACGCTCTCTCCCTGTCTCGCATTCACGTCTGCCACAGGATGTAGGTCAAACACAGCGTATGAGTGATATGGCGTAGGCAACGTGAATTTCGCTTTCACCTTGCCGCATATTTAGTTGTGCGAGTCGCGTACAAGCGTCAACTCCTTTTGCGGAAAATGTGAGATCCACCAAAAGCGGAAAAGTCTTTTCTTTGCTGCTGTAAGGGAAAATTCGCGCGCGACTTTTATCGAATCAATATTGCGACTTGTGTGCTGTGCTGTGTGCCGGGGTGAACACTTCGAATTTATTTTTGGCAACCCATTGACATTGGTTACACTTCGGCGGACAGTCGCATAGACACAGGCAAGTGACTCTCAAACTGGCTGCAAGCTAGGGCGAGCAACAGCATTAAGAATGCAAAAGTCCTAAGTGGGGTGCACAGTGGGGGAGTCCCACCTGCGAAATGGTCTCTAGCTCTAATCGCGCCTCCAGAGACACGGCCATCTCGCATCTCATTGGTTGCAAAGGGGAGTTCTGTGTCCATTTTGCCATGGAAATTCGCCACACATACGAGTACTCATGCCAGTGCTCTGTGTCACACAGAAATAAAGGTAAAAGCTGAAACGCAATGTCAAGTTGCGGCATGAACTGTCACCAGGCAGGCGGCAGTACCGAGCAGGCATTTGAAATATTTATGAAAAGCAGAGCGTTTCCATGAATCCTTCAACATTTTTTGTGCTGCGGCTGTTGTGTTCCCCGCTTTACTTTTTGGTCTCCATCTCTTCTTCGCACTCAACATCAAGGGTAATTAAAATGTGGACACATTAGAGCGGCTCGGGGTCTGGTGGTTGGCCACAAAACAAAACAGCACCCACTCTGCCAACAGCAGAGACATTTTTCACTCCTGCCACTGCTCCTGCTCCTTCTACTCCTCCTGCTGCTGCTCCTTAAAGCTGGTGACAAGTCGAGTTGAAAAATAAGTTTCGTGTTTGAGTTTTTGGTAAAGTTTGTCCTCTAGAGAGGAAAAATCATGTGAAAAATAAAATGTGGCGCTTTTTCTCTTACCCATATGATGGGGTGACATAAGAGGGGTGGCAGAGGGTAGAAAGAGTGATGATAGAGGGAAGATAAAGGGGAGATGGAGAGCAGGATGGACGCCTTGTTAGGCGCTTCAAAGAGACAAATTTAAGCTGCAAAACTTTTTAGTGACAGTGTTTCAATAGAGTTGGAGCAAAGGGAAGTTCAGCCTAGGGGATTATTTGAATAAGAGTATTAATGTAACGTTGTTAATGTCTTAAATCTTGCCTAAAATATGCCCCAAAGTAAACAGATTCTTAGCTACAAGAAATGTACCCAAAATGTTTAACAGAGAGAAAAAATCCATACATACTAAAACGGCGAAGTAATTGCGTATTTACGTGCATTTTTTTCCCTTTCGAAATACTCCAACATGACAATCGTTGACCCCACTGAACTGCCTTAATGATGTTGCTTTGGCTTCCAAAGTTTCCTTTTTTTCCTTTGTTTTTTACTGCCTCAATCAACGATTTCCGTGCGTGTTACCCTATTTCGTTATTTTGTGCCGAGACTTGTCGGCATTTCAGGGGCAATAACCAACACACACAAAAAGGAATCACCCCAACCCTTGTGTATAATTCATAAGGCCAGAGACATTCCCTTACAACCCATGTGTACTGCTGGTCAGTAGAGAGTGCCGGCCAATGTCAAGTTTGCTTTGGACTGATATCAAAGCCCAATAATGGCCCACTCGCCAGGGAGGCAAAAACTTAATGGAAATGGATAAACTGTGTGGCAAAACTTTACTATGCAGTCAGTCGTCGTAGTGTGCTTGTAGTGCTGCTTCTATTTCAGTTATTTTATATGTATCCCAGCGGCCATTTTACGTGCACATCATCTGCATATGTGTAACAACCTTTGCCAAGGAGTCTTTTGGCAAAAAACCTTTTTCCCGAACAAGAATTTTGGGCCCTTGGGGAGGTCTGGCTGAAACGTGATTCATTCAAGTGATTAGAATTTAACGAGTAAATTAAAGGTCTCTGCCATAACTGGCACTGGCAAAACTACGCTTCAGGCACACTGTTTTTAAGAGTCATTTAATTGTTCGTTCTCGCTAAAGTGAGTCATTTGGGTGTGAAATCTAAGATGAGAAATGGTGGCACACATCTTTCAATCAATAAAACGCACAACTTGAAATCACAAACTAAACTTTCTGCTCTAGAATTTCCTATTGACAAGACCTTGCATTACCCGTTGAGCTTAATTCAATTCTGACCTCATTTGCTTGCTCTTCAATGTATCTATTCCCCCAGCACATTGGCCTGCAATCAAAGATGCTTCCTCTGGCTGCTGGTCCACTGTCTTACCTTCGGTGGGCCGGGCCCTGCCCTGAGCTCCCTTTCGACTTGCTCCATAAATCAAAGGCAAATGTGACGCAATTTTCTTGCTACATTCCCATGATGCTACGGACAAACTAAACAGAAAGAAAATATTTCCAATTTGTTTACATTGTGCGCTCAATAAAAGCCAAGGCGGCTGTGACCCTGTGACCTGTTTGATGGGCTGGAAATTGTCACAGTTTAGTTTTGAATTTGGTTTTACGGCAGAGTCATAAAGACACACCAGCCAAACCCACCCAAAGGGGGTGCCAGAGTGGTTCCCTGATAAAATCAGAGCTTGGCAAAATACAATATTTATAGAGCAATTAAATGAAGACGCAAAGCAGACACCGCAAAGGATGTAGCCAGGACATGCAGCAAATAAGTTAACATATTTCCCCCGCGGCTGACAATGTTTCTCATTAACAATTGAGTGGGAGTTGAGCTGAGTTGATTCGTAATTGAGAAACAACTGAGGATAAGCCACGGATGCGGATAATTGACAAGCGAGTACCCGCATCCGGCAATCCGGCAATCCGACAACCCGACAACTCTTGGCTGCAATTTGCCTGGAAAACCCCCGCACGTGTCCTTCAGTGAAGCTCTTTTGCTTCCTTGCATTCCATGCCCTGCAGTCAGACATTTTCTGTGTGTATGTGTGTGTGGGCAGGTGGCTGGTTGAGTGTGCTAAGTGCTGTGTGTGTTGAAGGCCATATTCAAGAGACTCTTTTTGCTGCTAATTTGCTCTTTGCCTATAAAGGAAACATCCTCAAGTGCAAGGACTTGCGCTTATTTTATTGGTGTTTTTGCTGGAAAAAGGGAATGTTTTCCAGCACAAATTTAACAGGCAAGAGTGCCGTTCCCTCTCAGTGAAAGTTTTACATTTTTTACGCTCATAAAAACGTTTAAACATTTATATTTTATGGGGCATGGTCAAGTATTTAGGTGTTCAAGGAGGGGAAAATATGTCAGGCAATTTTAATATTTACTCCTACGCTATCATAATTTACCGAAGCCAATTGATTTGCTATGAAAAAGTAGAAACTGTAAGAATATTTTCATATTTATATTACAGATAATTCCAAAAGACTTATTTAGTTCTTTTAATTTGTTTGTATGGACACCTTGGTATAAATCAAAGTGCACAATATTTATTTTGCAATTTTTGTATTAAAACAATTAATAATCAATTTTCTCACATTAATAAAATGTGTCCACAAAAGTTTTATTGATAGGATAATTATTGCAAATAGCATAAAATAATATGCTTTCAGTTCGGAAGCATTTAATTCCTCTCCGTAAGTATTTGCAATTTATTTATGCATAATTTCCATATTCTTCTCTTCGGAATTGTCAATGCATCATTTTCAGCACAGAGGCTGCTGCCTAGGGCCACATTCTTGCCTGCCATACGTTTCATTTCATTGAGTTATCACACATCCTTTGTTGGCGCATATTTTTACGTCGGAATGTTGACCACATAGTTGCTCTCTGTGCCTCACCGTATCCACATAGTTGCTTTCTGCCACATTGTATGCCTTTTCAAT